TGTAGTCAAGTGTGTGCTAATTTCTGCATTCAAGAAATAGTTAATTTATTATGTTGTCATTTAATTAACTATGGTAATTTGTTATGGTAATTCATGGTGTTCTGGAAATTAACCATTAATTATTTCCTGATTGCATCAAATTGGTAATTGTGTTGTATATTTACATCTTTAAAAATTTTATATTAATGTTGTTCTTGGAAGTAAAACCTTCATGTAGCTAAAACAGATTTAGGGATCCTCAAGGTAATGCCCCACTTTGCTTGCATACTGTAGTGTAAAGTGTCATTCCTTTTATTCCTGGCCTAAGTCAATCTATAGAAGGTTAAGAATTATACATTTGAACTCTGTCACCTTATTTCTGTGTCCTTAGATACATCTGCTCTGGACTAATAGTGTGAGAACAGCCAGTACATATCTTTTTAACTGAGACTATTGAGATCCACATATTTTATATTTTGACTTATAGATCAATTTGATATTTTTTTTTTTTCCAGAAGTCCAACCTTAGTAAAAAATATACCTACCAGTTTAGGCTATGGAGCAGCTCTTAATGCCAGTTTGCAGGTAATATCATTAAATGCACCTTTTTATTATCCTTGTATTTGAATGTTCTTTTTTTTTTTTGGCCTGGCTCCGTTTTTAAGTGGTATTTGATTGTTCTTAATAGTTGGTTTATCATCCAAATAAGTTGTAGTACCTAGTACTGTAGAAAGCACTGGTTCTAATTCAAACTACTTTTGATGTGAAGAAGCAAGAAGGACACCCTGTGGCAAAATCGGGAACACTCGGTTTTCCTGCGAAAGCTAGATTGATAGAAGCTTTTGCAAATGCATGTGGCTATGCATTAATATTTATTCAGGCTGTCATAAATGATTTCACATCATAGTGTTGGGGAACATGGTGCTTGTGGCAAAAACTTTAAAGTTTAATTATAATATATAATTTTTATGCAGAGGAGCCAAATGTCAGGACTTCTTTATTTTGAGTTAAGTTCTGGTCATTTTTAAAAAGCAGAGCAATTGCTTATATTATCTTGGAGTATTTCTCACTGCATGTGAGGCTACAACATTTCATTATGTGGAAGGCTGAAACATGAGTGAAAAATTCAGCTAGGCGAACTATTGTTATATTTTCCCATAACTTCCCTTAAATTTTCACTTAATGTCTTTGGTATCTCTGCCACAAGATGCCAGCTAGGAATTTTTGCCTTTCCCATACATTTTATTTAAATTCTTCCAAAATATCTGCATTATGATCTGAGCCCACTAAAAGAAAGATAAGTGTTTTTAAAATTATTTTAAGGTACCTTTCAAAAGTTGTTTTACACACTCTTCATTTTACTAGGCTGCCTTGGCAGAGAGCAGTTTACCTTTGCTAAGTAATCCCGGACTGATCAATAATGCATCTAGTGGCCTACTGCAGGCCGTCCATGAAGACCTTAACGGTTCCCTGGACCACATCGACAGCAATGGGAACAGCAGTCCGGGCTGCTCACCTCAGCCTCACATGTAAGTGTGGTTTACAGTCTCTGTAAATGGAGGAACCTATATTCATATGGTTCCAAAATTTAGTATTCTTCTGAAGTTTTTAATGGCATGTAAGTAAAAAATATAAGTTTAAGTGGTGTGAAATTGCACCATGTCCATGATATGATAAAGTGCATCAAAATCAGTTTTAATACTTCTTTTAGATTGTCTCCAATGTCCTATAATAACTGTACAAGCAGTCCTCTACAAATTCTTTGTAGTACTAGCATTCTCTTGGGTGTAAAGCCGTAACTAAGATGAGTCTACATCGTATGGGTTATTATCACAGTTTGGTTTGTATGGTGCAATAAGAATATTCATGATGGAATAAGTTGTTGTAATTTTTACTACTATTATATGTCTCTAAACCATTTATGAACTGTAGTCAAGATATTGCCATGCCATTTTTATAAACTGTAAAATGCAAAGTTTAACTGTTACCCACAGTTTACATAGAAGCTAGTAAAGTGTAACTTTTTGCCTGTCTTATAAATCAGGGTAATTACATATTCAACTTTAATTACTGGTGCGTCTGTATTGGCAAGGTTTATATGTTATATTTTATGCAAGACTACGATTCCTATTAATATTTAGCAGCTAACTATATCATTAATTACTCTAAAATCTTTCCCTTACCATCTTTTTAATGGAGCTGAGAGAGTAGATGTATTAAAAATTGATGTATTGTGGATTTCAGAAATGTGTATGACACTTTAAAAAATGCCTGGCCGTCCTCAGTAGGCCAAGTATATCAGTTTATTGTTTACTGAAAAGTGTTGAGCTCCGTAGCACAATTCAGGAGGAAAAATTAGAATCTGAATAAATGAAGCATACACATCACTGAGGAATTAGGATCAGTTGTAACTTATGTGCATACTTCTTAGAGTTAAACATCATATACTTCTATTCTCATTTATTAAGGTAAGAATAATACTTTCTCTCATTTTTATATTTCCTTTCCTGTTTTTCCATTAAATATCTAGTCAAAGACCTGAAAGAGAAATATGGTCTTCATACGTGCCTATTTCCATTTGACCTTTCACAGGATATTATTTTTGTTGACTTTTTTAACGTCTTATTCTGTTTGACATATTAATGTCTTTAAGATCTTGTGCCTAATTGCTTTATAGCACTTTTACTCTATCACCTTTGTGAAAAACACACTGTGAACATTAATGTGTTTTATCAGGTTCCAAACCATTACTTTTTCAAAATGGAAAAATTTGTCTTTTGGAAGTGTCTTTAGATGTATTAAATAATACAAAAGAAGTAATAAAACTCGAAGTAGAAAGAACATGAATATATGCTCTTGAGAGTAGCAGTACTCTAAAACAAGGAAAGTGAGCAATCAGACAAAAGTTTTTATATCCCTGCTTTATCCTATCAGCCATGCAGTGGGTAGCTTGAGGCCTTTTACTTTCAGCAGTTCTCCAGAGTATGCTAATGCTCACTCCCTGTATAAAATGCTAAAACAATAAAACTTTAAAGAGCAAACAAGAGTTAGATCCTGTTTTCTCCCTTTAAAAAAAAAAAGACCTATTTCAGAGAAACGAAAGCCATTCATAATAAAAGTGTTTAAGCTATTGATGCAACTCCCTGTGCGAATAGGCAATATATAGTGGCTATTATAGACTATATATAGAAAATAGGTAAAGAAGTGATTTTTTAACATAATTGTCAGTGATAGGAATATTAAAATAAAAATTTAATGATTAAATAAAATAGTTTATTAGATCATTATACTTTAGAACCTAAAATAATAATAATTGGGCTAAATTATGGCGTTGTTAGGTTATTAGTATTTTTCATTTGACATTTGCTGTTTTAGGTTTTTCATTTTATTATTAATTTACAGTTTAATTGTGAACTACCTCAAGGAAAAAATAATACATATATGTAAAACACTGTATAAAAATTGTATTTTAATGGCTGATATACTGCCACGGTGGGCTTTTAAAACTAAAATGTTCACAGTCAATGTATTTTACAGTTTATATTTTTATGAATTTGAGCATGTGAAAAATATTTATGTGTATTTTCTACAGAGAGATAAAAGGAAAGCTTTCCTAGGATGGTTGGAAATAGATTTCAGAAAAGATATAAATTAGAGGAAGACCAAATGTTATCATTCTTTGAATCTTTTTCTGCTGTGGTCATTAATTTTTTGTCCATTAGATGTCAAATATTATGGACAGAATGTCACTTTGTCTTTATATTTTTAAGATGCTTATACTTAACCCTAAGACACTTTACATACATTATGAGGCAAAGAAAAAAATTTGATTGTGAGAGTATCTAATTCAATGCATTTCAGAGTACTCTGAAAATTAAACAGAAGTGAAAGAATTTTTATACATTTAAACAGTATATTTATGTATCCTGAAATGGAATTGTGGGATGTTTTTGTTGTTTTGGAGAATTATAGTTATACTGATGCGACTATAAATGAAAGGCAGTGAGGTCTAGTGTATTGGTATATGGGCTCTGATGACAGGTGGTAGGGTTCCATTCCCAGATTTAGCATTTAACAGCTGGGTAGTATTCATTTCTATCCTCTGTTTTGTCAGCTAAGAAAGAGGTAAGTAATAGTAATGCCCACTTCATAGGATTCTGGCAAAAGCAACGAGTGTCTTGGACATAATAATTGTTTTTTGTGTCCCTCCTATTGCTGTGTACCTAGTTAGTGACTTACATTCCCTTTTAAAACCTCATTGTTATTATATATGAGACTATAAACAATATAAAAGTATTTTACATTTTAAATTATATTTTTAGGCACACCATAAATATGTGGTTACTTTTCTTGACAGTCCCCCTTCATTTCCACCCTCCTTCCAGTATATTTCATGGAGTATGCAGATCGATAAAGGTGAAACCATGTGAGACTGGAGTTTATGGGAGAGTGCACGTTACTCAGATGGCAGGATTCTTATTTTTGAGATATGGAAACTTAACTGAGGTTCTAGGTAATGAAAAATTCAAATTGATACCAACCCAGAAGAGAAACTCAAGATATGTGCCTAGAAAACATTGCATATTAGGTTTGAAAGAAATTTAAAATATAGAAAGGAACATAAAATTTAGAATATCTGAAGTGGGACCAGACAGTTGAGTGCCTCCAGTGTCAGTTTATGGTGTTTGTTTTTGTCTCTTTGGAAGCGGTTTAATGTTATGATCTTGAGTTGCACACTTTCCAGGCCGTGCTTTAGGAAGAGTAATCTGAGAATGTACTGAAATTCAGTTGAATAAAACTCATACACTGTAGGATTTCTGGAGCTGGCAGAGACTGGAAGTAGAAGTTTCATTCTTGCAGTGCTGCATAAAGTACTAAAACAAGAGAGCCAGTTCGAACCCCTGGGACAAAAAGGAAATTAGGAAAAATCATAGCAACTTGAAGGCCATGGTGAGAAATAAAGGACAGGGGGCCTCCCTGGTGGCACAAGGGGTTAAGATGCAACCTATGAAGCAATATACAACCTCTGCAGCAAGAGTTCAATCCTTAGCCAGGGAGCTGCCCACGTGGCGCAGCAGACCTCTCCTGACTCACCTGCTGCTCAATCTGCCTTTTCTGTTCCCTACTCTGTCTCTGGTGAATCCTCTCACTCCCCGTCCCACACTTCTCACACTTCTGACCTGTACCCCAGTTCTTGTATGCATAAATAAATAAATCTTAAAAAAAAAAAAAGAAATAGAGGACAGGCTCAAAAGGTCATGTGATTTCAGCATTTCCTTTGCTGAGTCCAAGGGTATAAATGTCCGTAGACTCAGAAAAACACCAAACCAAAACTTCTTTTTTTGTTTGTTTAGTCTTCTTATTCAACTCCCAAAACATAAACTCCTACATAAGAAAATATGGATGTGTCCTTGAAGTTGGTAGAGAGAATGTTTTGAAGCTTCAGAAGTGTGAAATAGCTTATAGGTTGGTACTTCCAATTTATTTTTGGAGAACAAATGAAGCCAGATGATTATCCATCTTCTTCAGCTTCATGCTTCACATTTAGCACTTGCCATCCACTCTGTTTTCACTCCTACAATGCCCTGAATAAAGGCTTTGCCAGACTTATTTTGTTTTAACAATTTGCCTTCCTGCACTTTCCTTTTTCTGTTTTTCATCTTCTTTCCTTTACCCCAATCCTACCTTTTCTTAAGAGCTGGTTTCCTAGGAAGCGCTCTGAAGTAGTTTTGCTGTCAGGACCTGCACTCTGTCCCACCACCTTGAAGAACTTGCTCCTTATCCCATTACTTGGATTAATATGGCATGTGTGTGAACACACTTGTTCATGCACGATAGCCTGCTCATTTTGCACTGTCCCTAGATTAAGAACAGTGACTGTGTTTTAGACATAGTATAGTATTTAAAATCCTTAGCACATTACACCATCCAAGGTAAGCATTTCGTAGCCATATGATACAGGTTATGAAAAAATCAAATGACAGGGGACAGTTAGTTGGAAATGGTTTGACGTCATGAAGTAATCCCTATAAAAATAAAATCCAGGATTCTCTTAGGACTCTTAACACAAAGGGGAAACATGAAATTTTAGGAAAGAAGAGATAATTCAATATAACAATATAATGTTCATCTTTATGAGGGAGATACAAGATCTTTCTAAATATTGGTAGAGGGCCTCCCCTGGTGGCGCATGCAGTTGAGCACAGCGCTGTGAAGCTGCCGCAGCCTCTGCAGCGCTGGTTCAGTCCCTGCTGGCCAGGGAGGGTCCCACATGTTGCGACAGACCTCTCCTGCCGCGCCCGCTGCTCCCCTTAGCAGTGTATTTCGTCAATCTGCCTGTTCTGTTCCCCGCTGTGGCTCTGGTGAGTCCTCTTACCCTCCCGCACGTCTGGCCTGTACCCAGGTTCTTGTATAAATAAATCTGTAAAAATATTAAAAATAAAAATAAATAAATAGGGCCTCCCCTGGTGGTGCAGCAGTTGAGCACTGGGCTGCAAAGCTGCCCGCAGCCTCTGCAGCACCAGTTCAA